TAACTGCCGAATTTTTGAAATTAAATTCAGAATCTGAATTTATTTTTCGGTAAAAAAATGTATTTTTAACTTTCAAGTCTGGAAATCTTCTATGTGAACCAAGATTTCTTGGACTTAAAATGGTTTAGATTGCAAAAAAACTAGGTCTGGAGCTTGGTGAAGACTGCTTTGGAGGAAGAGCCCACAAAAGACTGCAGGATGCCTTGGATGAATGCAACTGATAGACCATATTTTTTGGTATGAACTAATGGTGATACTTACATCTAGACAGTCTGGAGTCAGACCTGCTTTGATGAATTGAACATGGATTCAAAATGGTTTCTATTGAACTACTGGCTGGTTTCCCTTTACCAAACCTTATGCAAACAACCAAATGGATTTGGAACAACAACAAAACAAACCAAACTTTCACCTAGTCCCTTGGTTCACAGTGCTACTGATTTCCTTTCACCTGTGGTTACCATTGCCAACTTGGAAACTATATGCAAAAAGAGGAGTCTAAAACCATGATTGGAAGAAGGAAATGTCAAGAGTTGATGGTATGTGGTAGTCTTGGTACAGCCACTGGGCTTTCAAGCCTGTGTGGAAAACACATGACAGCAACATGGGCTCTGGAAACACACATGACAGCCACATGGGCTCTAAAACCATGGTAAGAACATAACATGACAGCCACATGGGCTCTCAAACCATGGAAACAAACAAACCAGGCACAGGGGCTCCAAAGAACAGCCAATGGGCTCTTGCTGGGAAGTGAACAGCCACTGGGCTCTTGCAAGAGATCCTGGCTTTTTCCTTCTGGCTCAGGAAGACTTCTGCTAGGCAGCTGGCCACTCTTGGACCATCACTTCTTGGTCTTCGCAGTGGGCTTGGACATGGGCACTTTGGTCTTGCCATGGACCTTCTTGGTGGGGCCCTTGCCCATCATGGCTGCAGGCTTGGACTTGGTAGCTGCAGTGGCCTCCTGCAGCTGGAGCTCCAGCCAATCCTCATGGAGGATGGTCCCACCCATTTGGAGTGATTTCCTCCATGGGAAATTGCACAGCTGGCAAGTGGGTCTGTTGGCCACCTTGCGCATGAAGACCCAGCTTCCACATGGCTTCTGTGGATTCTGGCACTGGACCATGATGTCCCACAGCAGCAGTGGTCGGACCTGGTCCTCATCTGCCTGGGTCACAGCTGGCTTCTTCAGGGTGGCAGCTGGCTTCTTCATGGCTGCTGGCACTGAGGCACACACTGGGGCTTGGGCTTCTCTCTGGTGTGGACAGAGTGGCTGCTGGAAGGAAATGCATTTGAAAAGAATGGTCTGACTGTAGCCATGTGGCTCCATGAACCATGGAAGGAAACAACATGACAGCCACATGGGCTCTAAAACCTTGGCAGGAAAACAGCCACATGGGCTCTCCAAACATGGAAACAAACAAAGGCAAGTGTGCAAAGTGAACAGCCACTGGGCTCTTGCTAAGGAAGGGCCATTTTCCTTCTCAGTCTGGAAGACTTCTGCTGAGCAGCTGGCCACTCTGGACCATCACTTCTTGGTCTTTGCCTTGGGCTTGGACATAGCCATAGTGCTCTTGCCATGGCCCTTGGTGGTGGGGCCCTTGCCCTTCATGGGTGCAGGCTTGGACTTGGTAGCTGCTGTGGCCTTCTGCAGCTGGAGCTCCAGCCAATCCTCATGGAGGATGGTCCCACCCATTTGGAGGGAATTCCTCCATGGGAAATTGCACAGCTGGCAAGTGGCTCTGTTGGCCACCTTGCGCATGAACACCCAACTGCCACATGGCTTCTTTGGGTTCTGGCACTGGACCATGATGTCCCACAGCAGCAATGGTCGGACCTGGTCCTCCTCTGCTTGGGCAAGAGTGGCAGTGGCAGTGGCCATGGTCCCACTGGCAGCTGGCTTCCCCACAATGGCAGCTGGCTTCTTCATGGGCATGGCTGCTGGCACTGAGGCACACAGTGGGGCTTGGGCTTCTCACTGGTGTGGACAGAGTGGCTGCAGGAAGGAAATGCATTTGAAAAGAATGGTCTGACTGTAGCCATGTGGCTCCATGAACCATGGAAGGAAACAACATGACAGCCACATGGGCTCTAAATCCTTGGCAGGAAAACAGCGCCACAAATGCAGTGGCCATGCCAATAGCAGTTCAGGATGTAGGCCTGGTACCTGCAGTGGGGGCAGGTCCACCTCTGGTCCCAGAACCTCTCCCACTTGGCTGGCCATGGTCGCCCATTGTACCAGGTTGGGTCATGGCTGGCCCTTGGCTGAGCTTTGGGTGCACCTTTGTGGGCTCCTTTGGCTGGCCACTTGGCCTGGTACCACATGTGGCTGGTGGGCACAGTGGCTGGTGGGCACAGTGGCTCTTGGGCACAGTGGCTGCAAATCATGCTGATGGTATATGAAGTTAGAAACAGCCACTAGGCTCTTTGTTTTACTTTTGGCCTCAGAAACAATTTCACGATATTGGCACCATTGGTATATACATAAATCCAGAAACATGTATGGTTGGTGTGGATTTGTACATAGCCACATGGCTCATGAATCTAATTGCATCAAAACAAAAATTCTGGAACATGGTGATGTTGTTTGGATAGACACATGGTGCTTTGCACATGTATGGAACAGCCATGTTGGCTCCAGGCTTTTACTAAAGAAGCATATTTCATGGACACAGAATCTCAATTATCCACATGGCTTTTCTCCTTTCCAAAGCATAGCAAGGTGTCTCATACAAAAGTGGCCCTCTTGTTGGCCAACCCTTGTTGGTGCCTATTTCCTGCTCTTCTTCTTGGGCGGTTGCTTGGTGTCCCCTGAGGTCTCTTTTTCCTGGGACTCTTTGGGGTACAAAAGAAGTTGGTGTTTGCCCAATGCTTCATTATTGGTCAAGATGGGGATGGAAATGCCATCTTGCACAACATGGCTCCATTCCAAGGTCACAGCTTCCTCTTCAGTGGTTGGTTTGGCACCCAAAAAGGGAACCAAGCAATGCCCATCATTGAAGTCAGTGGACTGCTTCCATGCACAAATGGTAAATGCCATGCCCTGGCACTGGATCCTCAATTTGGACTGGAGGCCTTCTTTGGCTTTGGTAACAGTCCCCAAAGGAACAAGTTTGAGCTGCTTCTTTTTGAAGGACTGCTGGGTATAAAGAGCCATTGCTTTGGTGCAAGAGCATGGCACTGGTAGCAAGCATGCAAGGCATTGGCTACTGACAGCCTGGTGAGCTCTTCTTGGCAAGTACTGTGCTGCTCTGGCCGGCTCAGCCTGGCGGTCTCTTCTGGGCAAAGGAGAGGCATCTGAGACTTGGTGACCTTCCATTTCTTGAGGTCTGCAAATACAACATGGATTTCCTCTGGGCTTTGAAATAGGGCCGAATGGGCCATGGTTACATTGTCATCATTCACTTTGGTGAGCTGGAAAGGCTTCTGGCCATGCTCTTTGGGGTAGCAATACCTCAGGACTGAATTAACAAACAACCAATAAAACACATACAAAACAAACACACTGAAAAAAATCAACAAACCAAAATATGCAAGTCACATCTTCCCAATTTCCATATGGGCATTCTGTAGCAAAGCCATGGTTTTGGCATCTGCATTGAGGGCGTCAGTGATCTGCAAAGGCTTTTCAGGTACATGGGATGGAGTGGATGTGCTGCCATACTCTGCAAGATCTTCAGTGAAGGAGTGGAGAATTTCTGGCAAGCCCTCCCATTGCTAGGTCTCCCTGGAAAACTTCTGTTTGTTCAACAGAAAAAGCATGGCTCTGACTGCCATTCGCCCAAAGGATTTGAAGGCGTGGGCCTCAGCATTGTCCCTGGTCTCACTTGCTTGGCTGGACAGCCAAGAATTGGCTGTCTTCCATGCATCAGCAAGCATGGCCTCTGCTTCAACCACCTGTTCCTCCAGATCTTTGGACTTGAGTCTGTCCAGGTCACTTCTGGTCAACAACCTGGCAAACCCATCTTCATGCCTGGTGATTGGCAAGCCCAGGCTGCAAGGCGAATCATTGGAAAAAGGTTTGTGGGATGCTTGAAGTCAAGGTGGGCCAGGTAGGACATGAATTCCTTCACCAACAATAGGGTGGAATTTATGGATCTGCTGAAGGTGCTAAGGAAGTGGATCAAGGGAAACTGGGGCCCTCCTGCAAACCTCTGGACATACAGTGCTATGGCTGGTAAGCTGTCTCTGCACTTGATGTCTCCTTGCCTGGCCTTGGTAATGGCATCATTCAATTTGAGGCCTGCTTTGAAATAGGTGGCCATAAGGCAAGCTGTCTCCAACTCATTGATGGCCTTTCCAACGGAATTATTGGAATTTTGGGCCATTTGCAGAAAATTGCACAGCATTGGGATGGCATCCTCCAGAGCATGGGAAAGCACCACCCAATTCCATCCATGGTGGATGAGCTCCCATGCAGGGTTGCTTTTGAGAACATCCATTGATTGGCCATTGGGGCCCTGCACCCCTGCTTCCAAACACCTCAAAAAGGCCACTGTATGGCTTGATCCCAGGCTCAGGTAGCCTCAGTTGGCAATGTATTTGCTCATAATTACAGTTCCTCTATAACACCATGCATACACAGCCACTGGGCTCTCAGGACCGAGAATATATTCAATTGTGTTGTGGCCAAGGTATTCAATTGTGGCCAAGGAACGCTCTGATCCACAAAGTGGGGCTAAACATCCTTGGGACTCTGCAATGAGCTGCTTGTTCTTGGCAATCTGCTGGGACCTGTTGGGCTCTTGGGTGCTCATCTCAATGCAAATGGCACCCTGCAGCATGGACTTCTTCACTCCTACCTCCATCAGGTGAGCATGGCATGTACATCATGATAACTCAACATGCTTTGGGCTCTGTTGGATGGATGGCATAGAACCTCTTTGGGCAACAGCTCCTGGTGGTGGGCAAAACCACTGGCTTGGAGAAGTTCAATCACTTCCTCCACCTTTTGGTTCACTGGCTTTGAGCTGTCCAAGGTGGACACTATTTGGTTCACCAGCTTTGGTGGGACAGCCATGGGCACAGTGGTTTAGGACTCAAGATGGTTTGACCACCAAAAAGCTACTTAACTCAAAGCATTCAAAAAAAAACTATGCATCATAGCCAAAAGGCTCTCCCTCTCTTCCATGCCTAAATCTGCCTGGCAACAAATTGGCCACATGGTGCTAACAGTTTTCATGGTTTGATATATAGCCATAGTGGGCTCTCCAATATGGTGCAATTGCAAGGACTCTTTTTTCTTGCCAACCATTTGGAAGAATCACTTCTCGAAGGTGTCAGGCAGGAGGAGCCTTCCTCTTGGTGTAATTCCTCTTTTCACTGGACATGGCCTCATGGCTGTCCTGCCTCAAATACTCGATCACTGTGGTCAGCTGGGTGGCATCAATCTTGACCAACAAATCTGTGGCCCTGGGCCTTTGGCCAGTCATCAAGACTTCAATGGGCTTGTCCTCAACAGTAATGGCCAGCACTTGGTCCTCTTGGAAGGTCCTCCTTCTGGGTTTCTTTTTTGGAGAGACTGGCCCTTGAAAGAATAGGTCAATGTCTGGATCTTGTGGGTCGCCTGCTTCATCATACTTGGAATTCCTCATGGAAACCAAGTTGGATAGGGCTGGGCAAGATGCAAGGGATGCATTTTTGGTCACCTTGGTCCCACAAATCAGTTGAACGATGGGAAGGGCAGTGGATCTGATTCTCAGAAACTTGGTGCCATCTGGACCATCCACCACCAGTTCTGGTGGAATCACAATGGCCTTCTCATCTTGGTAGGATATCTGCATGGCATAGGTAATTTCCACCATGGCTATATGGGTGCTGGCTGCTTGATGTCTTCTCCAGCTACTGGTCTTTGGTTTTCGAGCAATATGGCTAGATGTTTCTTTGATATCATGATAGCCATGGTTGGCTCTGCCTGTGCAAATTTGCTTGTGTATATGGTTGATACCATTGTTTTTACTTATTTGGATGCATATACTAAAACAATGGTGGCATGAATGACAGCCATGCTATGGCTCTTTCAAAGGACCAGTTGATATATGCAATAACAGTCTGTTTGCATGACAGCCATGGAATGGCTCTATATATATATATATACATAGGTGTTTGTCTAAAAAACTTTGGAGCTGTATGCTGCATGTATTTTGAGGGATGGGTGTTGGGTATAATGGCAAAATGTTTGTTGAGAAGGCTGTGGATATAATATTTTCTCCATATGACTGTGGAAATCCTATGTGTGTGCTTTCAAAGGCTTGCTTGGTCTTTTTAAAAGATCTTTTGAAATCTCAATGACAGCATGTCAGCTCATGAGTTTGGGAATTTTCCCACAGGTAAAAATCACCATATGAATCCTATAGATTTCCCTTATTTTTTTGTCTTCGTGTGTGGGCCAAACTTATCTTCAATGTGGCATCATGCTCCTAGAAAATGTGTTTTGGACAACATATTTTTTGAAGATTCAATGGTTTCTTCCATCAGTGCCTTTGCTTCCTGCCTTTGTTTTTTGTTAAAAATTATGATGTTAAAAACAGCTAATTCCATCAACAAAAATTATAACTAGTTAACAAAGTTAACATGAATTAGCTAAAAAACTTAAAAAGTTACTATCATATGTTAAACTAGTATAAAAGTTATGCATATTTATGCATTGTTATAACTAGTTCATACATGGTTATAATTAGTTAGTACATAGTTATAAAGAGTTATAAAAAATTACAACTCCACCTAACATACTTAACTAGTTATAACAAAACCAGGGTTTTAAGTGCTACTAGTAGTAAGGCCAGGAGCCCCTAGTAGCGTCCTTGTTACTAGTAGCTTCTTGTTGCTAGTAGTACGGTCAGGAGCCCCTAGTAGCACACGATCAATGTATTGAATGTTTACAATTCTACGCTCCACTTGTGAACGTGGCCTGTAAGTCCAGTGGCAAGGATGCGCGCGCTTCGGCGAGCGCCGAGGGAACTAAGGAACTAAACGAAACGTAGGTTTCCTGGTAGTAGCTTCTTGTTACTAGTAGTAAGGCCAGCAGCCCCTAGTAGCGTCCTTGTTACTAGTAGCTTCTTGTTACTAGTAGCTTCTTGTTGTTAGTAGTACGGCCAGGAGCCCCTAGTAGCACACGATCAATGTATTGAACGTTTACAATTCCACGCTCCACTTGTGAACGTGGCCTGTAAGTCCAGTGGCAACCCCACATACTCCGCGTACTCAAGTTGTACTACCCACTCGCCAGTTCTCATCTTCCCACTCCCCAGCTACTCCGCGTACTACAGTTGTACTACCACGTCGCCAGTTCTCAGCTTCCAGCTCCACAGCTTGCTCCGCTGCTGAACGAATCGCACTCTCGCCTGCATTTCGCGCACTCGACACGCACGATCTCCGCAGAGGGTCGCGCGGTAATTTCACAAATCGCACTCTCGCCTGCATTTCGCGCACTCGACACGCACGATCTCCGCAGAGGGTTGCGCGGTAATTTCACGAATCGCGCTCTCGCCTGCATTTCGCGCACTCGACACGCACGATCTCCGCAGAGGGTTGCGCGGGCACCCGGCGAATCGCACTCTCGCCTGCATTTCGCACGCTCGACACGCACGATCTCCGCAGAGGGTTGCGCGGGCACCCGGCGAATCGCACTCTCGCCTGCATTTCGCGCACTCGACACGCGCGATCTCCGCAGCGGGTTGCGCGCGCAGCCGGCAAATCGCACTCTCCCCTGCATTTCGCGCACTCGACACGCACGATCTCCGCAGAGGGTCGCGCGGTCGCGCGCACATGGGACGAATCGCGCTCTCGCCTGCATTCCGCGCACTCCACACGCACGATCTCCGCAGAGGGTTGCACTTTCGGTTGACGCTGTTCGTCCCACCCTCCGCCTTTAAGAGAGAATTTATGAAGTGGGGAAATGTTTTTCATTAGGACATCTCCCGTGCTAGTTTTCCATGCTCACACTTGCCTACTCATTGCGTGCTTGTATAGTCATTGCATGCTTGCATACTCATGCTTGCGTACTCATCACTACACTTGCATACTTTGACATTGGCATACTTCGCACTTGGATGCTTTCGCTCTTCCAGTGTGTGTGTGTGTGTGTCAACCCTTGTGCCAAAGGGTTCACTGCCAACTTCTACCTTTTTCACAGCAG